GAATTTGTTCTAATTCATCTTCCGATGATATTTTAGTTAACTGAAACGAATAATAGTGATCGTCGTCGTCATTTGGCATTTGTTTTATCGTTTGCATTAAACAATCTTTTGCTGTGTCATAATTCAATGATGTGCGCAGTATTGTATGCTTTCGAATGAGACATAATAATGCCAGTTTTAAATGCCGAATTGATATCGTTTGTTGATTCATGACTAGTTTAAAACACATCGGAACATTGTAAATGGCCAAAATATTGTGCTGTTCACCTGATTTGTCATTATCATAACTTATGAATCGAATGTGTTCATCTAAATATATTCGCTCTTGTGCCATTGATGCTCGAGCTAAAATGTACAGAGAAAACATACTCAAATAGAACTGAGTAATTATGTGTTGAACAGTTCGCAAGAGCAGCTGCGAGGTGAAATTGAATGTTCACAGCTAATAATTGTCTATCAAATAGCCTTTAAGTGTGCTAACGTAGACATTCTTCTCTATGCATGACGACCGTTGTGTTCGGACATACTCCAGATCGATGATATTCGGTGAAGTGATTTGCTTTTCGATTGAACGGCTAGTTTTTACTGTTGCGAACAGTTAAGCACTGCGAAACAATAATTATAGAGATGAGAAAGAAGAGTGTACATGCGTGATTCTGTGGCGATCTTCCAGTCAAGTGCTAATAATCTGGCAAGATTTTAAATAGGGCCATAAAGAGCGTTGAGCAATATACATTAAAGATTTATCTGTTTTGTCTGAAATTACGGCTCAAATAGATGCCTTCACCATACTCTCTGAGCATTATACTCTTTCAGATATAAACGAAACTCAGACAGGCGGACAGTCTGGGTAGAACTAAATGTGCTATTATAGGTTTTATTTTAAAGTAAATGGTTCATTTGCGAGAACATGTTGATTTTGTCTAGTGTCGGTTTTCAGCTCGGGTGTCGTGAGAACTTACAAGTATCATGAAAATTCGCAATTGGCGTTTGATGGGGCTGAGATCAGTAATTGAAAAGTCGTTTGGAAGAATGAAAGTGTTTTCTGTGAAGCATAGAGAGAAGGAGAATCCATCGCTAGCAATAGCACGCAGGTTTTTGAAATAGAAGACCATTCTTTTAGGAAGGGTTTTGGTAGCGGATAGGGTTGTTTTTCTAAGTGGACATAGTATAGTTCTGTTAAGCAGGTGCCGAGATATTCCAGAACTTGTAAAATGATGTATCGCAGTAGTATATTCATGTATGCGTTTGTAGAGTTGTTTGCTTCTCGAAATAGACTATTATTAAAGATTATCGGTTATCGTCACGCAAGGTTTCGGATCTGCTATGAGCCTCATCCGTATGAGATGAACCGTAAGAACCTTAGAAACGACTGAAACGTGTGGTCCTAGCCACGATGAGTCCCATGCCCATACTTCAAGTTCATGCGCATTCTTCTGTTAATGACACACCTTCTTCCCATGCAACACAAACTCATCAGACCTAGCACAACTTTTCATAACTTCTGGTGCGGTTGTGTATGACGAAACCAGAGAATCTGTTTTACACCAAATTCCTCAAAACTTAACATAACGTAAGGTACCGCGAGACATGATCCGATATGATGGAGTACGGTAACTAATGTAAGTTAAGCGATGATAACTTTTCTCCCGTTATGGGGTTTATTCACACACTTCAACGATACACCAATCTCAGCGTGCACCACATAGTACTTGATGTTACGACGTAAACACCTACTGGAGGTGGGGTGATTGAGAAAACAACATTTCCTACGTTCGCATGCAAAACTCTCGGTATCAACACACAGTGAGCATCCAAGCGGCCATTAGGCGAAAAAGTCGATTCTCTTATTTACCAAATATAAATACTGCAAAAAATAGCCCTTCCAATTCTCTATCGAATGGTGTATAAATGTCTATTTTGATGTCCACTCCTTCAAGACGAAAATTGTATGGCGAATATGTAAAAAAGTGACATCTACGAATAAAATCATAATTTCCTCTTCAGACAATCATGTTAAATTATTTTAAAGTACATAGTCGAAATCACCAAGTCGAGAGCTATCTATTGACAATAAAGTTTGATCCTTTGAACATTTAACCAGTGAAAAACAGCACACGGATTTCTCAGAATGGCATTTCCGTTCAGACTACCTCACTATAGTCTTAACGCCCCGGTTAGCCCCACTGGAAAATAACATCTAACTATGTCAAGATGCTCCTCAGACAATACTCTACTTATACTCTCACAAAATCTCACATATTTTTGAAGGCCGAATGATGGATTTTTCAAAGCCCGTACGGATCTCAGGGTATTTTGCCGTTTTCTTCCGAACAAAAGCACTTTTGGTCAAATATAATACCATATTCCGAATCAGCGTGAAAAACTCCATCGAATGGTGTATAACTCATCTAGTTTCGGTTGCTCGATTTTGAATCGGGTACTTCCACGCAGGTTCTCCCAGATTTACATCGACATTCAGCCGGCAAATTTTCACCACGTTAGTTTTGTAGAGCTCGTCGAGTTATATAAGAACCCATATTTTGTTTTGGTCCGAAGCATGCGCTTTGGTCGAAAAACGGGCTGAAATGATGACACGACGTTCTTCCGTCATATAACACAGTTTGCATAATAAATCATTTTCTTTGATCCCAGAACCCTTGTATTGTAACGTTTTCGAATGTATTTATTTAAAGAGAGTGCCATTGAATTTGAAACCTTTTTGACACCCTGCGGAACCCGTGATAAAATAGCACCTTTTCGCTGACGCGGGTGAGCGGTTGGATGGCTAC